AAAGCTGTCAGTACCTGCACACCTCATTTTGCTTCTCTGCTCAACTTCTCATTTGGTGTTTGTTTTGAAATATTACAGAGCAGATTTGATATTAAAAGTGTGTACAGTATGTTGCAAATTGTTTTATCGTTATACTTTCTGACATGCCAGCCACTCTTGAACCCTCTGATGTATGGACTGAACATGTCCAAAATCTGCATCATATGTAAACGTTTGTTGTTAAATTTTGTTATAAAGTGTGGTAGTCAATCCTAAAATATGGAGCCTAATCCCAGATCAAATGCACATTTAAAGGCCCTGAATATTGTCTTGTTGTGGTGTTATGTTACATATGTTATCTTTTTTCCTAATTCCTTTCCTAATTTATGTCTTCCTGTGTTGTTGCAAACGGAGCTGCTGTAATAGTTTTAATTATTATCATCATCATCATCATCATCATCATCATCAGGTTGACTGAAAGGAAACTGGTTCTGGTTCCTTCTGAAGACACTAGTCAAGTTCTCAAATTCCAAAGCAATCATCTAAAGTGATACGGCAGAATTAAAACTTTGCCACAAAGTGTTTATTCTCATTTAATGTAACCCCACAGAGGCTGCTGGTACTGGTAAAGTTAGATCATTTCACCAAGTTCCTTAGGTCAAAGGTCATTTTAGCCTGTCAACATGTTTGTCCTTGAGGCATCTTCACATTGCTAATTCCCTCTAATTACAGTCAGAGCTGTTAACCAGTGAGACCAATCAGCACGAGCAGACCTCAGCACTGGTTTCACTGGTCCACTGAGGCCTGAGGATGACCTCCCCTCCCCACTTTGTGACAACACACTTCAGCATGGACAGAAGTTTGTTTAGTGTTTGCTCATAGTCCCTCTACAATGTCCAGCTGTTTCCTTTTTAAAGAATAATGGCATTAAGATCAAACTAAGCTAATGTCAATCCAGACTCTGTTTGTGAAGCATTTCTGGAGTTTTAAGTTGTCTAATAGAACAGATTCTTGACCATTATTGTAACTATCTAAGTCCACAATAACTCTCAGACAATTGTCAATATACAAAACTGAGTCTCAAGTGTGAGTGTTTTCTGAAGCTTAGAAGTTACTAAAATAAAACACATATTTAGGAAAAGTTATGAGCTGAAAATCTTGTGGTTTTTATTTAACAGAATTATTTGCATCTAGAGTTCATAAAACCTCAACAACCCACTGGCAAAGCTTCTGCTTAGACAGAGCCTGCCCTTTCCTAGGGCCTCCATAGCAGATAAACAGGCTATCAGAGTTGTGAAAGTCAACAGTTGCCTGTAGATAATGCTCCAAGGCCCTAACTTATTTTCCTCATCTTGTAGGCATAAAGGGTCATAAGCTGACCTGTTTAAAGTCTTGTCCCAACACAACTGTTGTTTCCATCAGTGAGAAACAAAAGGGGGCAGTGGGTTGAGGACTCTGAAGCAAACAGATCCACTTTTGCAGTGCCATATCTGTATAAGGGATATCTGTTCCTCCATGACCGCAATGCGAGGAGGAATTGGTTGGATAGCCTGACTCTCTTGGCTCTGTGCAACATTGCCTATAGGTGGAGGCCATTGGTCCAAACCTGCAAAGGCCCAGCAGCATAATTGATATCAATGATGTCAACATGCCCAACAGCCTGAGAAAAATGCTGTACTTGAATCTCTTGTTCTTCTAGAAAGAGAGAAGCTGGAGTATGGCATCTACTCCCTGCAGCATTGGGGAGGTCAGCATCTGAAGGGAGTCCAGGGTAAATCTAATAAACGCTTTTTCCGGGTATGAGACAACTTTTGGCATAACAGACAATAAGGCCCCCAGCTCCTCAGTTTGTAGTTGGAAGGGCAGCGCAGAAAAACCCTCTCTGGAAGTAAGGGTGGAAGTCTCCATTTCCGCTACAGGAATCCATCATAGACAGGAAATCCTTGTCCCATTCTGGTGGGTAGGGGGCCTAGCCTGTGGACTATCCATCCTGGTTGCAGCCTTCCTGCCTAATTGAAGGTTAAGGAGCAAATCCTTAATTTCAGTAAACTCTAAAACAAGTCCTTCCACCCCAGCTAGTTGGGCTACCTTAGGTGGATAACACAGAAGCATGAGGGGCATTCATCACAGCCATCAGTGGCTAAACTTACTTGAGAATGGAAACACTCTAAGTAACAGAATACCTCAGTAACAAGACAACAAACTGATACAAGGCCATGATAATAAGCTAAGACTGTTGGATTCATCTGTTCTGAAAAGGTATAAAAGCTGCAGATGTCAGAAGTGACTGCAGCAGTCTGCAGTTTAGCAGTAAACTAATGCTGAGCTGTGTAACATCAACATGTCATTTTCATATTTAACTTAAATGTTCAGTGAGATGGTGAGTTTTGAATACTTTTTTAAATATTCCTCTTGTTCATTTTCATAATGGATTTTAGGGTGAATCATCAGAAGAAAACTCTGTCATTGTTTGCATACTGTAGTTGTTTTGTCATTTAAAGTTAGAGTTCTGGTTAAAGTTATGGTCAATTCAACTCTATCAACGTTGTCTTATTTCATTCTTGAAGCTTATATGATTGTTGGAAGTTTGAAATACTTATATTTTACGATAACTTGAACAGAAGCTTACATGAACCTATGTACATATTTTCTGGTGGCAGCCTGTTTGTAAATGAACTGTAAGTACAGGGTTGTTTCCAATGCTTCTGGTTCAGATTCTCTCTGACATTCACACTGTTTCTGCTTCATTTTGTTACCTGCAGATTTTCTGTTTGTATACATATGCAAATGTAGAGTTTTGTAATTTAGCCGTCATGTCTTATGACAGATATCTCGCTATCTGTTATCCTTTACAATATAACACACATATGACATTTAACAAGGTGTTTATTTTAATTATTTTGGTATGGTTGTACTCTTTTTTAAAATTTCTGATTACTTTATCCTTAAACATCCGTCTGACACTGTGTGGAAACATCATAAACAGTTTGTATTGTCATAACTACCTCATTGTTAAGTTGGCATGTTTGGACACCAAAGTGAACAACATTTATGGACTTTTTGCCACTGCTGTCTCCATTTTAGTCCCTCTGCTCCCAATCATTTTCTCTTACATGAAAATTCTCAAAATCTGTTTTTCTGGTTCCAGACAGACCAGACAGAAAGCTGTCAGTACCTGCACACCTCACCTTGTGTCTCTCATAAACTTTTCTTTTGGCTGTTTCTTTGAAATAGTTCAGACTAGATTTAATAAGGACAGTATTCCCAATGTTGTACGAATAATTTTGTCGTTATATTTCTCAGTACTTCAACCACTTCTGAATCCTATCATGTATGGAATGCAAATGTCTAAAATACGAAATACATGTAAAGATCTGTGCTGTTATAAAATGTCCACTGGTCACAGAGATTCAATGTAAAGGGTCAGTCATTTGTTTATTTGTAAAATCTCGCCCTCAATTAAAAAGGTTATTTTAAAAAATGACAGTACAGAAAAGTTCTGTGTTTACTGTAACTGAGGGATGTGGAAATATGTTGCCTGAAATAGGGTTCAATACATTTTATAGTTGTGATTTTAATAAAATATATCCACATACATCCTAAAACACAAGTAATATTCCTGTTGGAGTTGTGTGACATGTTGGTCAGGGAGCGTGTGTGTGAGACCTACAGAAAACAATGTATGGGACAGGAAATAAGACGTATACAGAGCAGACAGCTAGACAAGTAGAATAATAATATGGACATAAAAAGTGACACTTTTAAGTAAGTAATTTTAAGACAAGACAAAAATGTGAAAGTCTCTATCTAGATCCAGTTTTTGGTTTGTTCGTTCTGAGCTAAACATGGTGGGTAAACATAGCTGACTCCATAGAAGCTGCCTCTGTAGATAAAACATCTCAATTTAAGGTAACAAAAACATGATTCTTATGTTCAGGTG